CCAATTAAACTATCCAGACCTGGGATTTTCTTTTTTGGGAGGTTTTTGGTTTCCAATTCAATCTCCCCTCTAGTTTTAGTTCTGTTCGGTATTTTATTTCTTTATGATTAAGTCTTGGCAGGTTGTATATTTTCAGGAATTTCTCCATTTCCTCTAGTTTTTTCTAGTATATGAGTATAGAGATACTCATAGCAGTGTCTGATGATCTTTTGTATTTTTGTGATATCAGTTATAATGTCTTTTTTCATTTCTGATTTTATTTCTTTTAATATTTTCTTGCTTGGTTAGTCTAGGTATCAGTCTACTAAATTGTTTTATCTTTTCAAAGAACCAACTTTTTGTTTCATGGATCCTTTGTATTTTTTAAAATTTCTCTTAATATTACTTATGGTTGTTGGAATCTCTGTAAGGAATGGAGCTTCATTTTATATTATATTGAACCAAAGTTTCTAAACCTTCACCCGTCCCTTCTGGTACTTCTCTTTGGTACTATTCATTCAACATTTAACTAATAATTGTTACCTGTTGGGTGCCAGAGACCATTCTCAGCACTAAGTAAACAAGACAAGCAAAGTTCTTGCCCTTGTGGGCTATATTGTAGAAAAAAACAAATTGTGATTCAAGTTAACAAACAAATAAAATTGTGAGAAATAGATAAAACAAGTAGTGTGTTAAGATAGAGAATAATAGAAGGAAAAATGCTTTTCATAAAATTGTTACAGAAGGTTTTTCTGAGGATATATTATTTAAAGTTACTATCTGAAGGAAAAGGAGATAACCACATAAAGTATGGGAAGGATAACGTTCCAGGCAGAGGGAAGAGCTTGCAAAAGGATCTGTGGCATGCAATAGCCTGTTCTGTGTGGAGTATTCAAGAGAGTGAATGAAATCCATTGCAACAGGAGTATAATAAACCAAGTCAAGAGTAGCATGGGATGAGTTTGACTATGTGTTCAAGTGCCATATTTTGATGAGATTTTTTAGTTCATAGCAAGGACTTAGCATCATGAACAGCCATCAGAGGACTTAAAAGCTAAAAAAAGATTAGATTTATATTTCGACAAATATAAATGTGTCTTGTGAAAGCCATTGTGAAGGCAGCAACCATTAGGAGGTATTTGTGGTTGACCAGAAAGGGATGACTATAGCTTTAGACTAGAGAAGTAGCAGTGAAAATGGAGAGAAGTGAACATATTTGATATATTTTGGAGGTAGAATTGCCAAGATTTGATGATGATTTAGATATAAAGTTTCAGGAAAAGAGTTACAGGTCAAATTCTAAGTTTTTATGGTTTGAACAAGAAAAAGGTATAATTTTTCAAGATGAAGAAGATGGATATTGGAGGAGGTGAGTAACCTGAATCTCTCTTTGTTACTTTTTCTCTACACTAGACTTAAACATGGCTTATTTATATAGGACTTATTTAATACTTTCACAATAATTCAGTAGGTAGGCTGCTTTCTTTTCATGTTCCAGGTTATCTATAATCATCTGAAAATATATTTCCCTAATCTGATATAGTTCC